TTTCCTTCTGCAAAAATGACAAAGAAACCAGTTTTAATGCTCCATAAGGCACTGTTCTGATTATATGTATTGTAAGGATAAAAAGTTAAACAAATAAAGATTAAGTTATACTGATGCAAGGTAACAAATAACAAGAGCAAATTTTTGTAATTTGCGCTGTGAATTTCTAAAAATCGAAACTGCTCAATGTGGTTAAAAAGACTGTTTATGACTTGGCCCCTTGCTAGCCATGAATCAATAAAACATGACGTAATTCTCTCTCTTATCAATGCTTTAGAACATCATCCTAGTCTTTTCAAAATCTTTTTATATCAAAAATTGTGTTATCCACCTCTTCACTTCTTCTTTGATGAACCTGACTTCACATTAACAGGTAGTTCATTGATGTTCATTTCCATGTCGTTTTTAAAAACTGTATACATGTACCAGCATATATACAGCTCAACGCACATTCTAAGCTCACATTTTTTTTTGCAAAAATTTTGGTTCCATTTTTTGCAATAAAATGAACATTTTCGACCTTAAGATATTTAATGTATTACGGCCATATATTGGACCTAATAAATAAATAAATGATACAATATTTTAAATCATGGTAGCATTTGAAGATGTTATCAAATAACAAGAGGCCCATGGGCCACATCGCTCACCTGAGAAGCTTTGACCATTCTGTTCTTTACTAGATTTCCCCCTTGTAATACATATTGTGACCCCACCCTACCCCACTGATCATTATTTAAACAATTTGAAATCACACTACACCAGAACGCTTCCACATAAGTTTCAGCTTTTCTGGCCCAGTGGTTCTTCAAAGATTTTTCCTATATATTTATATGGAAAACTTTGATTCCCCATTGTGGCCCCGCCCAATCCCGGGGGGGTCATGATTTGAACAAATTAGAATCTACACTACCCAAGAATGCTTCCACATAAGTTTCAGCTTTTCTGGCTTAGTGGTTCTTGAGAAGAAGATTTTTAAAGATTTTTCCTATATATTTCTATGTAAAACTTTGATTCACCATTGTGGCCCCTCCCAATCCCCGGGGGTCATGATTTGAACAATTTAGAATCTACACTACCCAAGGATGCTTCCACATAAGTTTCAGCTTTTCTGGCTTAGTGGTTCTTGAGAAGAAGATTTTTAAAGATTTTTCCTATATATTTCTATGTAAAACTTTGATTCCCCATTGTGGCCCCGCCCAATCCCCGGGGGTCATGATTTGAACAATTTAGAATCTACACTACACCAGGATGCTTCCACATAAGTTTCAGCTTTTCTGGCCCAGTGGTCCTTGAGAAGAAGATTTTTAAAGATTTTTCCTATATATTTCTATGTAAAACTTTGATTCCCCATTGTGGCCCCGCCCAATCCCCGGGGGTCATGATTTGAATAATTTAGAATCTACACTACCCCAGAATGCTTCCACATAAGTTTCAGCTTTTCTGGCTTAGTGGTTCTTGAGAAGATTTTTAAAGATTTTTCCTAAAAATTTCTATGCAAAACTTTGATTCCCCATTGTGGCCCCTCCCAATCCCCGGGGGTCATGATTTGAACAATTTAGAATCTAAACTACACCAGGATGCTTCCACATAAGTTTCAGCTTTTCTGGCCCAGTGGTCCTTGAGAAGAAGATTTTTAAAGATTTTTCCTATATATTTCTATGTAAAACTTTGATTCCCCATTGTGGCCCCGCCCAATCCCCGGGGGTCATGATTTGAACAATTTAGAATCTACACTACACCAGGAAGCTTCCACATAAGTTTCAGCTTTTCTGGCCCAGTGGTTCTTGAGAAGAAGATTTTTAAAGATTTTTCCTATATATTTCTATGTAAAACTTTGATTCCCCATTGTGGCCCCGCCCAATCCCCGGGGGTCATGGTTTGAACAATTTAGAATCTACACTACCCCAGGATGCTTCCACATAAGTTTCAGCTTTTCTTGCCCAGTGGTTCTTGAGAAGAAGATTTTTTAATGACCCCACCCTATTTTTGTCTTTTCTTGATTATCTCCCCTTGTGAAGGGATTTGGCCCTTCATTTTAACAATTTACATTCCCCTTCACCAAAGCATGCTTTGTACCAAGTTTGGTCAAAATTGGCCCAGTGGTTCTTGAGAAGAAGTCGAAAATGTGAAAAGTTTACGGACGGACAGACGGACAGACGTCCGGACGACGGACACAATGTGATCAGAAAAGCTCACTTGAGCCTTCGGCTCAGGTGAGCTAAAAAAGCTCTAGCAAAGGAATTAACAAAATTTTGATTATTGTCAAGTTAGTTGTACCTTGAATTTTACATTGAAGTCTCTGTACAGCTCATGTTTTATTTTATCAGATATTGTAAAAAGTCAATTTCAAACAAATCTCTTGGTGGAAATATGCACAAACTCTCTCTTTATCAAACTATGAAAAAAAAAAATTTGTACCGCAGAAATGGTTAGAGAAAACATTGAAAAGTTTTTTTTACTTTGAATTTGTTGGCGGGTTTAATTGACACATCCTTGCTCTTTCACATATTTTAACTTTATTCTTAATCCTTCAGAAAAGTGGCAATCTTGTTGTGTATTCATGAGAAATATTAAAATTTTAATCCAGAAAATTTTTTTTATTCAAAGTAGAAATGTTAGTAAAACACCTTCACAAGCATTGTCATTCCGAGCTAAGTCACGTGTGCAAACCGATCACACAGTTTTTGTAAGCAAGGCACGAGCTCTGTTTTTGTGGATGTTTAGATTTCACCGGGTGCTTTCAATTGTCAAAAGTCTGCTCATATGGTTATTAACATTTGTACAAATTTTCAGACAAATCCTTCCAAGAGTTTCTGAGTAATGGTCCAGAAAAAATCTCGTCTATAGACAGACAGACAGACGGACATGGTGATCCCAATATACCCCCCTCTAAACTTCGTTTGGGGGAGGGGTATTAAAAAGTTTAAAACGGATAAATTTTGATCAGAAAATCTCAGTTAGGCATTTGACTGAGGTTAGACAAACATTTGTGTTAAAACGCTTTTTTATAAATATTTTTTTTCATTGAGAGAATCAGGAAGTTTAGATTTCTGGAGATTTTACAAAATTGTGCATAAAGGCGTAACAAAATGTCAGAGATGTTTTCATAATCAATTAAAATTAAATTTTCATTTTCTTGATTGTTCGTATAATAGCCCTCCTCTTTAAACGAGTTTTTAAAAAATAAAAAAAGTTCCTATTCAATGTTTTTATTAGTCTGATTTTAACTGAAAAAGCAAAACAATACAGAACACAATTATAAATTGATACAATTTGCATTGTATATGAATATACTAGTATTATGCATCATACTATACGAAATACGTACATGTTCGAATAATAAATACACACATGAACAACTAATCAAAGCATTTAAGATTCATTTCATCAACATGTAATTAAGGACAATCATATTAAAATAAATTTCATAAATAGGATAAAATAAAAATCTTCAATTTCTCCGCAATATTTCAATCAAATTTACATCACACAAAGGAGTTCATTGTTTTTTAACCAAGACTAATTGAAAATATTTTCAAAGATTTTCATCTAGAAATACCAACTCCAACATTTATGTAAGCAAAGGCCAACGTTGGCTAATTAAACTGTAACATAAAAGGATTTTTTAATTAATGTCAGACTACTCTTGCCAAATTATTTTACTTCAATTTACAAGGACTTTACTTATATGTGTACATATCTGTACCAGACATTTTTCTCTTAAAAAGATTTATGGAACAAATCACTGTTAAATTTATTTAAATTTCCAGATGTATCTATCTTTTTTGATTTCTCAATTACATAAAAAATGAAATTTTAAACTCTATGTATAGGTCTGTTTCAATTGACTTCCTACAAACATCATTATTGTAAAGTTTTTTTTTATTGTAAAGTTTTTCATTGAAAAGCGCCAAGAAGTGTCTCTATACAACACTAAGGTATCTCGCCTGTTTGTGTCTTTTTATGCCTCTTCAAGCGAAATTATCGGTTGAATCAAATTTGTGAGTTTTTCACCAATCTATTCTGTTTCCAGAGGTATTCTGGTATAGGCTTTCAAACCTTTATGTATCCACAAATGGCTCTTCATCTATGCCTTTTTCCAAATGACTTTCCACAAACATCCCATTAGTAAGGTTTGAAATACGTCACCATGAGATTCTGTAGGTTACTTTAAATGCTATTTGTACGGTTTTGCATTTATTTGAAATGCGTCACCATGAGTTTATGTAAGTTACTTTAAATGCTAGATCTGTGCTTAATTTTCCAAACACATCACAATACTAAGGTTTTTCGCCTCTATATATCTATATCTAGATTTTTTACGTATGCATTAGTAATTGATTGAATACCTTTCCGAAAATTCTTAAGTTTCTCGTCTCTATATTTCTGTATATAGATCAGTTGAACGATTTACTACACACATTTAACATGTTAATAACACGTGTGTATCTTCCGGTGTTTGTCTAGATCTGACTTTTTACAATATGCGCTTAGACAGAAATCACATTTATAAGGTTTATTTCCAGTATGTGTCATCTTGTGTCTTTTTAAATCAGTGGCATATTTGAAGGCCCTCTCACATACATCACATTTGTAAGGTTCATCACCTGTATGTATTCTCATGTGTCCTTGTAAGTTATCTTTCCGGGAGAATAACTTTTCACAAACCCCACATTTACTGTAAACGTATTATATTTGGCTGTGTATTCTTTTTAGCGCCTTTCGCGGAAAGCAGCCTCCGCTAAATCAAGTACATCGCTATATGCTTTGTGTATAAATGTTTATGTAGAGCACATTCAAAAAGCGCTAAATCAAATCTACGCCAACTTCTTGAAAATCCAATTTCCGCCAAATATTCTACACGCCAAATATAATACATTTACAGTATACGGTTTATCACCCGTATGTGTTCTCATGTGCTTCTGTAAGTGTTGTGACTGGCTGAATGCCTTCCCACACACATCACATTTATAAGGTTTGTCTCCTGTATGTGTCCTCATGTGTTTCAGTAAGTTCCCTGAATTGTTGAATGCCTTCCCACACACATCACATTCAAAAGATTTATCACCAGAATGTGCATCAAATTGATAAGGTTTATCACATGTATGTGTTCTCATGTGTGTCTGTAAGTGATTTGTCTGGCTGAATGCTTTCTCACAAACATCACATTTATAAGGTTTATCACCTGTACAGGGTGTTTCAGAAAACATGCAACCGTTTTGATCGATTTTATTTCACTGATATTTTAACCAATACCATGCACCAACATATCTGATTAAAAGTCACAACTTCAAGATTTATTCTTTTGAAAATAATGTTAATACGACAAATTACTAATCAATTACAGAAGAAAAAGGAAACTTGTTAAATTTCACGATGTTAAGAATTAACCTCTAAATGACGCCATTTTCGCTGAAAGGAAAAATCTATCGATGCAAGAAAGTTCTCATTTCTATTGCAATGAGTCTCTTGAGAATGAATCAGGTCTCATTTTTAAAACTATTTTGAGTCCACTTCTTTTTTCTTCTTTTTTTTTGGAAGGGAGGGGGGGGGTGAAATTCTTTGACCATTTAATAATCACACAGATAAAAATCAAGGGGTGTTAATTCAGATGAGTGTGGAAGCCCAATTTAACGGATTTTAAAGAGTTGAATGGTCCTCCAAAGATTTGTTCTAACAATTAAGTCCAAGGTTTAAGATTCAAAACAAGTTTCAGCATCTGATGTACACTTGAATTGCTCAATTTGTTCAAAAACTCAGTTAGTCTACAAAGGGAGTCTCTAGAACAATGCCTCTTCAGTAACATTCTAAATGTTTCCATGTGTTTTGTCCTTTTCTTTCATTTTTTTCCTTATCTGAGTGAATGATCATTCATTGACTCTTTCATAAGATACAAAATTCAACAGATTTAAACAACTTCCACTTTATATTGCTAATTGTAAGTCATTTGCAATTTTAAAATCTTTATTTTCACACACTGCCATAATCACAGGTAATGGTGACATGCTGTGATAAAGCAGAATCAAAATTCCTGATGTTTTTTCATTAAATTCCACATTAAGGATGAAATCATCTGTTTTTTAATTATGTCAAATATGACGTCATAATTAATGAAAATGGTCATTATTTTCTATATTTTTAATTTTGAGAAAAACTGAAGCCGTTTTAGCACAATTTTATACAAAACTTTCATATGTTCCTGTTTGCATATCGATATAGTGAGGAAAGTAAATGGTTGCATGTTTTCTGAAACACCCTGTATGTGTTCTCATGTGTTTTTGTAAGTTCTGTGATTGGTTGAAAGCCTTCCCGCACACATCACATTGATATGATTTATAACCTGTGTGTATCTCCGCGTGGTAAAAGTTGACTAAATTATTGAAGACCTTCCCACATACTTCACAATTTTTTAGTTTATCACCTGTGTGTATCCTCATGTGTTCATGACGGGTATATGACCGACTGAATGCTTTTCCACAAACATCACATTTATATGGTTTATCACCTGTGTGTATCCTCAAGTGTTCATAACAAGTATATGACCGGCTGAATGCTTTTCCACACACATGACATTTATAAGGTTTATCACCTGTGTGTTTCCTCATGTGTGTCTGACAAGTATATGAATGGCTGAATGTCTTCCCACACACATCACATTAATAAGGTTTATCTCCGGTATGTGTCCTCATGTGTGTTTTATAATTGGTGCCATGTTTGAATAATCTCTCACAAACACCACATTTGTAAGGTTCATCACCTGTATGTATTCTCATGTGTACTTGTAAGTTATCTTTCCGGTTGAATAACTTTTCACAAATGTTACATTTATAAGGTTTATCACCTGTATGTGTCCTCATGTGACTCTTTAAGTTCTGTGACTGGTTGAAGGCCTTCCCACACACATCACATCTATAAGGTTTATCACCTGTATGTGTTCTCAAGTGTGTCTGTAAGTTAGGTGACTGGCTGAATGCTTTCCCACACACTTCACATTTATAAGGTTTATCACTTGTATGTATCCTTATGTGTATCTGTAAGTTGTGTGCTTGGCTGAATGTCTTCCCACACACATCACATTCATAAAGTTTATCTCCGGTATGCGTCCTCATGTGTGTTTTATAATTGGTGGCATGTTTGAATAATCTCTCACAAACACCACATTTGTAAGGTTCATCAACTGTATGTATTCTCATGTGTACTTGTAAGTTATCTTTCCGGTTGAATAACTTTTCACAAATGTTACATTTATAAGGTTTATCACCTGTATGTGTCCTCATGTGACTCTTTAAGTTCTGTGACTGGTTGAAGGCCTTCCCACACACATCACATCTATAAGGTTTATCACCTGTATGTGTCCTCATGTGTGTCTGTAAGTGTGGTGACTGGCTGAATGCTTTCCCACACACTTCACATTTATAAGGTTTATCACCTGTATGTGTTTTCATATGTTTCAATAAATGTTGTGACTGACTGAATGCTTTCCCACACATGTCACATTGATAAAATTTATCACCTGTATGTGTCCTCATGTGGCAGTATAAGTTACATAATTTGTTGAATGCCTTCCCACACACCTCACATTTATAAGGTTTATCACCTGTATGTATCATCATGTGTTCATGACGGGTATAAGATTGGGTGAATGCCTTCCCACACACATCACACTTATAAGGTTTGTCTCCAGTATGTATTCTTATATGTCTGATTAAGCTACTGGACAGGCTGAAGTTCTTTAAACAGAAATCACATTGAAAAGCTTTGCTGGTTGACTTTTCAGCCTCACTTTGAATCTTTGAATTAGATGACCAGACTTCTTTTTCCATCTGTAAATTTAGCAAAAATTGTTTTAAGTAGTGTGTCAAGCTACGTTTTTTTGATGATTATATGTAAAAACATAGGTAATCAGAGATTACAGAGCTCACCTCAACGTGTGTTGTCTTTAAGTACGGCAAATTAAATCACACAATTAATTAACAAAAAGTGTGCATCCAAAAATGCAAAATTCATGCAATTTTGATACTTGGGAATAGACCTTTATAAAAAAAAACTTAAAACTAGTTCTTCATCATAAAAATGTAATTAAAATCCAGCATCCAAAGCAAGATTGAGAGTTTTCATCCCTTGATGCATCATTTGTGAAACTGGTTTATATAAGCCTTATAATTTCTTGGTGATAGACTTGCATAGATAAATTTTATGAGGTCTATTATCTAGAAAATGTGTGTCGAATTCAGCATCTGAATCAAGTCCATTAGTGTGCATCCTAAGATGTATCACTCATGCAAGTTTTGTTAGTATAGGGCTTAAAGTTACTTGCAAATGAAACCTGTATAAACAAATTAACCTTTCCACTAATCCAGAAAATGTAGGTCAGATTCAGCATCCGAAGCCAGCCTAGTAGAATGCACCCTTAGATGTACCATCCATGCAAGTTTGGTCATTATAGGGCTCAAAGTTACTTGGAAATGAATCCTGCACCATAAACTTTAACCTGTTTACTCATCCAGAAAATGCAGGTGAGATTCAGCATCCGAAGCAAGTCTGGTAGTATGCATCCTAAGATGTAACAATCCATGCAAGTTTAGTTGTTATAGGGTTCATAGTACCTTGGAAATGAAACCTGCACCAAAAATTTTAACCTGTTCACTCAACCGGAAAATGTAGGTCAGATTCAGCATCAGAGGTAGGTCTTGTAATATGCATCCTAAGATGTAAGATCCATGCAAGTTTGGTAATTATATGTCTCATAGTTACTTGGAAATGAAACCTGCACCAAACACTTAAACCTGTTCACTCAACCGAATAAAAGTAGGTCAGATTCAGCATCCGAATCACGTCTAGTAGAATACATCCTAAGATGTACCATCCATGCAAGTTTGGTCATTATAGGGCTCAAAGTATCTTCGAAATGAAACCTTCACAAAAAACTTTACCCTGTTCACTCAACTGGAAAATGTAGGTCACATTCAGCATCTGAAGTAAGTCTGATAGTATGCATCCTAAGATGTACCATCCATGCAAGTTTAATCGTTATAGGGTTCATAGTACCTTGGAAATGAAACCTGCACCAAAAATTTTAACCTGTTCACCCAACCGGAAAATGTAGGTCAGATTCAGCATCCGAGGCAGGTCTTGTAATATGCATCCAAAGATGTACCATCCATGCAAGTTTGGTAATTATATGTCTCATAGTTACTTGGAAATGAAACCTGCACAAAAAACTGTTCTCTCAACCGGAAAATGAAGGTCAGATACAGCATTCGAAGCAAGGCTTTTAGTATGCATTCTAAGATGTATCATCCATGTAAGTTTGGTCAACATAGGGCTTAATAGTTACATGGAAATGAGAGCTACACCAAAAACTGCAGCAACAAGATGTGTGTTTGTAAAACACTGATGCCCCAGTATGGCAACATAGCAGAGATTAAGCTTTTCTTAAATGCAAATTCAATTAATTGGTACTAAATGTAGGGTATTCTCACTGGAAAACAATTGTGCAATTTGAAAGTAAGCTTATGTTAAAGTTTTTAATAAGTACAAAAATCTCAAAGGGCAAGGTTTAAAGGTCAATTTAATTAGTATCAAATGAAAGCTTTTGCCACATAAAATACTTATGTAGAGCATGAAAGCCCTAGCCCTAACCGTTCAGAAGTTATGGTCAACGTTCAATTTCTGAAAAAATAGGTCAAACTCCTAGGTCAAGGTCATAGGGTCAAAGTTATTGTAATCAAATGAAAGGTCTTGTCATAAGCATCAAATATGTAAAGTATGAAAGCACTAGCCCTAACTCTTTAAAAGTTATGGTCAAGGTTTGCGTTTTTCAAGTAGGTCAATCTCAAAGGTCAAGGTCAAAGGGTCAAAGTTCTTGGTATCCAATGAAGGGTCTTCTCACAAGGATTACCTATATGAAGTATGAAAGCCCTAACCCTTACCGTTCAAAACTTATGGCCAAGGTTAAATTTTTTTTTCACAAGTACGGAAATCTAAAAGGTCAAGGTCAAAGGGTCAAGGTTGTCCAGTAAAAGGTCTTTTAACAAATGTTACATATGTGAAGTATAAATGTCCTGGTGTCTACTGTTCAAAAGATATGGCCAAAGTAAAATTCTAAAATTTTCAAGTAAAATTGGGTCAAACTCCAAGGTCAAAATGTCAAATTTGGTGGTACCCGAAGAAAGGTCTTGTCACAAGGAATACACATATGAAATAAAAAAGTCATAGCTCCACTAAATCAAAAGTTTTGGGCAAGGTTAAAGTTTTTGGGAACAAACAGACAGAGAGACAGACAGACAGACACGACAAAAACTATATGCCCTAGAAACTTCGTTTACGGGGGCATAAAAATGTTAACCTGCACCAAAAACATTAACCTGGTCATTTTTTTGCTTAAATTGTAGCATCTGAAACTTTGACTGGTACAATGAAACACACTAGAAACATCTTCCATGCATGTCTAATAAATATAGGACATAGAAGTACTTAAAAAGAAAACTGCTCCAAAAAACTTAACCTTAACCCGGGACGCCGACGCCGAGGGTATCACATAAGCTCCCCCCAACTTCGTTGAGGTGAGCTAAAAATCAGAAATAAGATTTAAAAGAATTTCATTGCAAACAATTTTACTTTCATTTTTTCCTTTTCTTTTTTCTTTTTTCTACTAAATATGTTGCTTAAAATAATTCCTTAGTTTTGAAAATAATCTTGAGAAGATAATTTTAAAGCAATTTCCTATATATATCTATATAATTACATTTCCAATGTCTTTGAGATAAAATTACCAATTGTAAATGTAATCGATTTCCTCATAAATGTTTTGGCGCGGTTTCAAAAAAAAACTAGGTGCAGGGAAGGACAACTACTAGAGAGAAGCAGACCTGGAGCCTGTGGATTGGCGGAATCAAAGTATGTAAATATAAGGAATAACTGTCAGATTTTTCGAATTCATGAAGATGATCAATGGATTGGCTTGTGTGATAATTTTATGCATAAACGCCTTCGGCTTTTATGCAAATTATCACACAAGCCAATCCATTGATCACTTCATGAATTCTAAAAATAAGACAGTTATTCCTTAAAGAAAACTTTGGTTGGCAATTGTGGCCCCGCCCTATGCCTCCTGATTTGCACAAACTTGAATCTACACTACCTGAGGATGCTTCCATATAAATATGATCAATTACAGCTTTGTTAATCATGACAATTTTTTTAAAGAATTCTCCTATTTATTTCTATGTAAAACGTTGGTCGGCAATTATGGCCCCACCCTATCCCCGGTGGTCATGATTTGAACAAACTTAAATCTACACTACCTGAGGATGGTTACACATGAGTTTAAGTTTTCCTGACATAGTGGTTCTTAAGAAGCAGATTTTAAAAACATACCACCACATTTTTATTAATTCCAAATTATCTCTTCAGAAGAAGTCAAAAATGTGAAACGTTTACAGACAGACAGACAGACGGACGCTGGATATTATATTAACAAAATTTAAGCTCACTAGAGCCTTCGGCTAAGGTGAGCTAAAAAAGGGATTTTCTGTACCCTAATTTTGCATCATAACTTTGCTACGCTGCTATTCAACACAGGTCAAAGTGTTGTTAATGTTTATAAGGATAATATCAAAATTAATTGAGATTTTTATTAAGGATTTTTTGACAGGTTTGGTTAAATCGTGTTATTCGTCTCTTCACTTTCTTCATTGATAAATCTGATTTGAAAACAGCTCACATTAATATGTTTATCACTGATGTTCATTTACTTGGCATTTTGTCTGACCATGCCAACTTCGTTTTTTTGTTATTACCTATATGAATCCTCATGTGTTTTTGTAAGGTATCTGATCTCCTGAATGTCTGTCCACATACACCACATTCAAAAGTTTTTTCACCGGTATGTATCCTCATGTGTCTATTTTTGGTACTTGATTGGTAAAATGCCTTTCCACACACATCACATGTATAAGGTTTTTCACCAGTATGTGTCCTCATGTGCCTCTGTAAGTCATTTGACTGATTGTATGTCTTTCCACACACATTACACTTATAAGGTTTATCACCTGTATGTATCCTCATGTGCTTCAATAAATTACCTGAATGATTAAATGCCTTCTGGCAAACATCACATTTATAAGATTTATCAACTGTATGTATCCTCATGTGTTGATGTAATTCACCTGATTGTTTGAAAGCCTTCCCACACATATCACATTTATAAGGTTTTTCTCCTGTATGGATCCTCATGTGATTCTCTAAGCTTCTTGAACAAATGAATGCCTTATCACACATATTACATTTATAAGGTTTATCCTCTGAATGTAATATCCTCCTGTGACTCTGTAAGTCACTTGAACGAGTGAATGCCTTCCCACACACATCACATGTATATGGTTTTTCACCTGTATGAATCCTCGTGTGAGTCTTTAAGTCCTTTGAATGACTGAATGCATTCATACACACATCACATTTATAAGGTTTTTCACCTGTATGTATCATCATATGGTCCTGTAGGGCTTTTGTTCCAGAAAAACTCCTTTCACACACATCACATTTATAAGGTTTTTCCCCAGTATGTGTCCTCATGTGATTCTTTAAGTGCTGTACCTGGTTGAAAGCCTTCCCACATACATCACATTTGTAAGGTTTTTCCCCAGTATGTGTCCTCATGTGATTCTTTAATTGTTGTAACTGGTTGAAAGCCTTCCCACACACATCACATTTGAACGGTTTTTCACCAGTATGTGTCCTCATGTGAACTTTTAAGCTCTGTGAATGCTTGAAAGCCTTCCCACAAACTTCACATTTGTACGGTTTTTCACCTGTATGTATCCTCATGTGACTCTTTAGATTTTTTGACCTACTGAATGCCTTCTCACACACTTCGCATTTAAAAGGCTTTTCAATAGTGTGTGTACTCATGTGTGTCTGCACGTGTTGTGGCTCACAGAGTGACTTCTCAAATACATCATAGTTATTAAGTGTTTTATCTGTGTGTGTCCTCATATTTGTATGTAAGGCACCTGATTCGTTCCGAGTTTTTTCACATGCATCACAACAATAAGAAACATTACCAGTTTCTGTAGTCATGTCGATAGTAATGTCACTAAATACAGATAATGCCTTCCCACAAAATTCACACTCAAAACTCTCCTCCCTGATTTGACAACTTATTTGTCTCTGTAAGTGATCTGAACTAGCTGAATCTTTCCAACTGTTACACTTAAATGGCTTTTTACTTACATGTGTGTTGATGTGTCTTTCTGAATTTCCAGTTTGATCCTCGTCTGAACAATAGTTCTGTAATTGTTCAGTGTCTTTCTGAATATTAGATTGGGGTTCAAAATCTCTCCTTTCCCTCTGCAAAAATGACAAGGAAATCAGTTTCATTGCTCCATAGGGCACTGTTCTGATAAAATTTAATCAAAGGATATAAAATGTAAACAAATAAAGATAAAGTTATATTGATTCAAAGTTGAAGGGTTTTATTTTAAAAAAAGGTGAATGAGAAAGGTCCTTTTAGTCCTGTGAATATCTGAACATTGAAATTGTCCAGATTTGGTTAAAAAGACTGTATTTATGACTAGGCCCCTTGGTAGGTATGTATCTATAAACATGTAGTTCTCTCTGATCAATAGTTTACGAAATAATCAAATGTGTGTTAATGTTTCTCTGTAAAACAAAATAACATCTGGAAAAAATTACATGCTTTAACAAGAAAATTCTAGGTGCACACCTTCATATGGCGAATAATAAGTGTACAATTTTCAGATAAATCCATGAAATAGTTTTTAAGAAACGGTCTGCACAAGACCACAAAAGATGTCCAATTTTACTAAAAACATACAGTCCCAATAAAAACGAAAAAAAAAATATTGATTTTTTAGTTACTGTAGTCAAATATCAACATTTATAAAACAAACAACAAAAGAATTTTAAATTGGGATCCAAGAAATCTTGTTAACTTTAAATTATCAGGTTGTCGGAAGCAAAAAAAACAGGTATACGCCCTAGGTCACTTCCCCGTCATATTGAATGCAATGTCACAGTTGATGAAATGCTGGTTGGTCAGCATAGTCAGGAAACAGATTTATGTGGAGGTTAAAACAACAGAAGAAGTTGCATTGCATGAGAAGTCAGATGGTAATGACTGAGGGAGATGTCTGTATCAGATAATGTCCTGCAGATCTATATGGCAACTTCTCTACGTGGTTAAGATAGGCTGTTTACCATCTGAACGGAAGTAGATTTCTTTGTTTTGCGAGTCCTCAGTGAAAGTGGACAGCGTTGAACTGGTGACTTGCTTTTGATCCAAAGATGATTCCTTATTTATTTTTTTTGTTATAAGATATATCATATCTTATTACTAAGTGAACAATTAAATAAAACATTTATTTTTCTTTAGTGTATTTATACACCAGGATGATTTATACATGCAGGTTGACTTTTGACCTTTCAGTAGCATTTCAACAAAGAAATTAAAATGCCACAGAAATCACAGAAAAATTAACAAGATTCACTTTTGTAGTGTTTATTATTGAGAAAAAATTGGAAATGGAAATATTTACATATATTCTCTGGACATTCAAAGCTTTGTTCTGAATTTTAGATATAATGTTCAAACGTTCCTTAGTGTTTAAATGTATCAAGTCTTTAATTAGGAAAGATAACTCTTGAAATTGGACTTTTTATACGAAATTTTTCTACACTGGAATTTTCATTTCGTGAAAACATTCCTCATTCAATTTGTCCTATACAATACATCCCTGGTCTATTCAGAGCCTACTTTTCTTATACTTTATGCACAGGTTAAAAAGATTAGGAGAGCCTACTTTTCTTATACTTTATGCACAGGTTAAAAAGATTAGGACATTAATTGTTTTAAGTAGAAAACTATTTTTACATAAAAAAAAGTAATATGAGGTATTTATAGGCTTTTGTTTTAATTGTGTTTTTGTTTCGTGATTTGCATTGTTTTGGGTCAATGCAAGGCAAGTAACTGCTTTAAGGTACATTGATACTCTAATAAGAGAAATGACTCTTAATGACACGAATGTCTATTATTCCTTTATAAATTTGTCAACTGTAAGTGCCTTTTTTGTCAAATTTTGCCGGCAAGCCCTGCTATAATTCTTTGGGGTTTTTTTCAGAATATACATTTGAAAAATCATTAAAGTGAAAGGAAAATTTCATATAAGTGAGAAGAGTGTTTTCGACTCTTAATGAAAACAGGCACATACACATCTACATTGAATGAGAAAAAAACACAAAAACTCATATGAAAACTGTCCCAATCCACTAGCCAAGAGTATAACATAATCCTACTTATAATTATGTGTGAATAATGTTTGAAGTTAATTAAATATACTTTAAAGTAAGTTCAAAATCACTTTTGAAACATATTTTGTTGCTTCGTTCCACAATTTTGCATGATAACAATATGCCCGTAATTTGTGCAAAAACATGTGAACTTAGAAAATGCATTTAGTGGTATACTTCGTTTATATGTTATCAGCTGTATGAATCCTAATGTGTGTTTTTTAGACATCTAATCTGCCAAATGTCTGTCCACAAACATCACATCCATATGGTTTATCTCCTGTGTGGCCCAGTGGGGATCCGGGTTAGAATAGATCCTCAGTACCCCCTTGCTTGTCGTAAAAGGCGACTAAATGGGGCAGTACTTCGGATGAGACCGTATAAACCGAGGCCCCGTGTCACAGCAGGTGTGGCACGATAAAGATCCCTCCCTGCCCAAAGGCCATAAGTGCCGAGCACAGGCCTAAATTTGCAGCCCCTCACGGGCAATGGTGACGTCTTCATATCAGTGAAATACTGTAAACGTATTATATTTGGCTGTGTATTCTTTTTAGCGCATTTCTCGGAAAGCAGCCTCCGCTTAATCAAGTACATCGCTAAATGCTTTGTGTATAAAGGTTTATGTAGAACACATTCAAAAGGCGCTAAATCAAATCTACGCCAACTTCTTGAAAATCCAATTTCCACCAAATATCGTACACGCCAAATATAATACATTTACAGTATTCTGGAGAGGGACGTAAAACAGTATACAATCAATCAATCTCCTGTGTGTATCTTCATGTGTCTATGTTTGGTACTTGAATGTGACAATCAAACCCGCCGAATAATTTGAAGTTTTAATAAGTTTTAAAAGAAATAAAAATTTTTTATTAATTTTTGTGTTATATGATATTAAAATATATAAGTAGTAATATTATAGAAAAAAAAAACATTGACTTCAAATCTGTGTCCAAGTACCTATAAAGTTCATTGGGGATAAACATCTATACATATAAATTATAAAATTTTGCCAATTAACTCCGAAATGGGTGCACAAGAGTTGTTACTTACTCCTCTAATACTAAACAACGTGCGAGATGATGTCCGTAAACTATATTTATATTTCACTCGGTTAGTAAGTATTGTATATAAAATTAAAAGTTTACATCAATTTTCTGAAAAGTCATGAAATAGCATCAACGTGAGTATTGTGGCGTTTCCGGTTGGCAGATCTAAGGTACTGTCAAATTTTAATGAAAGTGACCAAAAACAATCGAATATTTATTTCATAAAATGTCATCACTGAATAATTCGATCAAAACTTTATTTAATTGATATAAAAGAAATAAGTTGTAGTAATAGATTAAAAAGCAATATTGCAAATTATTTTCGTCAATCACAGATTTCAAAATTGACGGAAATTTCTAGAACATTGCCACATTGCTTTTATCAAGAAATAATTATAAATATTGTAATTTACGGGTATTTGATTAAATAGTTTTACAAAATATATATAATATATAAATCATTATACAATAAACATAGGTAATCAAAGATTACAAAGCTCACCTCGACGAATGTTATCAGTTTAAGTAATGCAAATCCTACATCATATTTTCTTAATATTAAGTATTCATCCCAACAACAATATCCTTGCAAGTTGTGTTTAACCCTCTACATGACATATACACATTTCTATGCATTTAGTGTGAAAAACATGTATTGTGTAAACAAAATATATTCATAACTGTTAAAACTGAAGATATCAAAAACTTCAAGTTCATTCGGATTGATCTGTTCCCAAAACTTTAACCTGGTCTCTTGTATGGAAAATATAGGTCAGATCCAGCATCCCAAGCAAGTCTGATAGTGTCCATCCTAACATGCATCATCCATGCAAGTTTGGTTTAGCTAGGGCTTATAGTTACATGTACTTCGGAATGAACATGTATGTCAGATCTAGAATCCAAAGCAAGCCTGGTAGTGTCCATCCTAAGTTACATTATCCATGCAAATTTGGTTTAGCTAAGGCTAACCATAACTTGGGAATGAAAAATGTAGGTCAGATCCAGCATCTGCAGCAAGTCTGGTAGTGTCCATCCCTAGATACATCATCCTTGCAAGTTTGGTTTAGCTAGGGCTTACAGTTACTTGGGAATGAAAATGTAGGACAGATCCAGCATCTGAAGCAAGTCTGGTAGTTTCCATCCCTGAATACATCATCTATGTCAGTTTGGTCCAAATAGGGCTCATAGTTACTTGGGAATGAAAATGTAGGTCAGATCCAGCATCCGAAGCAAGTCTGGTAGTGTACATCCCTAGATGCATCATCCATACAAGTTTGATTCAGGAAGGGATTATAGTTACTTAGGAATGAAAATGTAGGTCAAATCCAGCATCTGAAACTAGTCTGGTAGTGTCCATCCCTAGATACATCATCCATGCAAGTTCAGTCAAAATAGAGCTCATAGTTACTTGGGAATGAAAAGTAGGTCAGATCCAGCATCCGAAGCAAGTCTGGCAGTGTCCCTCCCTAGATACATCATCCATGCAAGTTTGGTCCAAATAGAGCTCATAGTTACTTGGGAATGAAAAGTAGGTCAGATCCAGCATCTGAAACTAGTCTGGTAGTGTACGTCCCTTGATACATCATCCATGCAAGTTTGCTTCAGGTAGGGTTCATAGTTACTTGGGAATGAAAATGTCGGTCAGATTCAGCATCCGAAGCAAGTCTGGCAGTGTCCATCCCTAGATGCATCATCCATGCAAGTTTGGTCCAAATAGGGCTTTTAGTTCCTGAGGAATGGATCTGCTCCAAAAACTTTAACCTGTTCGCTCAACTGGAAAAAGTAGGTCAGATTTAGCATCCGAAGCAAGTCTGGTAGTATACATCCCTAGATGCATCATCCATGCAAGTTTGATTCAGGTAGGGCTTATAGTTCCTTTGGAATAGACCTGCTCCAAAAACTTTAACCTGGTCACTCATCTGGAAAATATAGGTCAGATCCAGCATCAGAAGCAAGTCTGGTAGTGTACATTCATAGATGCATCATCCATGCAAGTTTGGTCTGGTTAAGGCTTTTAACTCCTAGGGTATGGACCTGCTCCAAAAACTTTAACCTGGTCACTCATCTGGAAAATGGAGGTCAGATTTAGCATCAGAAGCAAGTCTAGTAGTGTACATTCATAGATGCATCATCCATGCAAGTTTGGTCTGGGTAGGAATTATAATTCCTTGGGAATGGACCTGTTCCAAAAACTTTAATCTGCTCCAAAAACTTTCACCTGGTCACTCATCTAGAAAATATAGGTCAGATCCAGCATCCGAAGTAAGTCTGGTAGTGTACATCCCTAGATGCATCATCCATGCAAGTTTGGTTCAGATAGGGCTTATAGTTACTTGGGAATGGACTTGCTCCTAAAACTTTAATCTGGACGCCGACGCCGAGGCCAATGCCGGGGGTATAGCATAAGCTGATCTTGACTTCGTCGAGGTGAGCTTAAAACAATATTTTGGAAAATACGAGCAAAATATGGTTGGAAATTATCAGAAGCATTTTGTTGCTGGGAAAGCCACTTATATTTTATTAATGCAAAGATTATATAGGAAAATAAATCATTGATAACCAAAGTGCTGATTACATTACGTATGTAGTGCATGTATACATGTACATGTACCTTATTCAATGTAAAAAAAAATCTTTTTACGGTCTTACTTATCAACGAGGGTATCTATATAATTATAAGCAAGACCTAAGTACATTAAAATTTTTACCTCTTTCCAAAATCAATTTATTAGTAAATTATGTATATTCGTTGCTTTTATCCTTCAAGAAAATGAAACAAGAACATTTCCATAACACTGTATAAAGTTTTGAACAGATAAACTTCAATTAAAGATTTTTATTAAATTTTCAAATTTTCACTAAAAGTGGGTGGGGATGGTGACGTGCATTTACTTCATGGGGACTTTTGAACAAATTATTTCCTCCCTCGATAAGTCTGTAGTCTGTCAGTAAAATCTACAATTTACAACTACAATAAACTTAATTTTTTATTGGGCTAGGTTTCACGAAACTATCGTAAGATTTGTGCTTAGATTGCACGGGTAGTTATCTAGTGTTCCCCCCCCCCCCAAAAAAAAAATAACCTGGTCACTCATTTAGAAAATGTAGTTCAGATCTAGAATCCAAAGTAAGTCTCGACTGTCTATCTATAGATGCATCATCTATGCAGTTTTAATCATGATAACAGGCCATAAGATTGTCGCCCACGTGGCGCAGCGTCTGCTCTAGAGTTGCGAAGTAAGGAGTCAATCCTTACTTCACGGGTTCGAATCCCACTGTGGGACGTTGAGACCGGTCTTTCGGATGAGACCGTATAAACCGACGCCCTGTCCCTCACTGCTCAAAGGCCCTGAGTGCCGAGCATAGGACAAAATTTGTAGCCCTCCACCGGCAAGTGGTGGCGTCTCCATATGAGTGAAAAATTCTCGAGAGGGACGTTAAACAATATAAAATCATTCAATCAATCAAACCATAAAATTAAAGAAATACTCAAAAAAAAATTACTCGGGTTACTCATCTAAAATTGTAGGCCAAAATCAGCAACCGAAGCAAGTCTAGTAGTGTCCATCCATACTTGCATCTGATCATTCATGCAATTTCGGTCTGGGTAGGACTTATAGTTTCCTGAAAATGGACCTGCTCTAAAATATTAAACTGGTCGCTCAGCTCGAAAATGAAGGTCAGATCCAGCATCCAAAGCAAGTCTGGTAGAGCCCATCCATAGATGTAGCATCAATGCAAGTTTAGTCTGGGTAAGGCTTAGAGTTACTTGGGAATTGACTTAAACCTAAAACTGAAACCTGTGACACCAACACCAACGCCGGGCACAGCACAAGCTTAAGGTCAGACGACACATTCCTCAATATATTATAATTTTTCCAAAGAATTTGTCATTGAAGTATAGATACTTAATAAAGTTTCCTAACAAAAAACTAGGTTACCTTACCAAGAATTTTGCGAGAATACCATAAGCTCATATTTCTTAAATAAACTATATGGTAAATATTCTAAATGGCCATAACACAATTTTTTGGTGTACCTATAATTGGAGTTTTATGAAGAGACTTACTTTTATATTCAACAGCTGACTTTTACATTTTAGCTCCATTCAAACTCCATTAAAAACATTTTGAAAACAATGGAAAATTTAGGAGAGAATAAAAGAATATGAACACGTTTTGATATTATACCTAGATATGTTTTTAAGGAACATGTTGTTTGACCTTAAATCGACTTCGTCGAGGTGGGCTAAAAATGTTAAAACCTTCCATACTCATCAATTTTATGAGGTTTTATAATCTATTTGTACCTTTTAGTTATAAAATCAATTGGAAGTTTTTTTATTCACACAAATCAAATTGATAACATGTTTTACCAGTATGTGTCCCCATATTTTCTGTAAGTTATCTAATTAGTTAAATGTATTTTCACAAGCGTCCCACATACAAGGCTTAACACAAGTTTATTTCCTTTGTTTTTCATGTAACTATGTCTCTTGGTGCAAAGAATACCTTCCTACATAATTTATAATTAAGATTTTAATTTTTTATATGAAAGAACTTTATGCGGTAATAACATATATTTGTCCCCCAAATCAAACTTTGATGGAGGTCATACTTAATTAAGTTCATAAACAGGGGGGTATGTGCCGACTTCAAAGCACTGAATAGTTATGACGGCATATGTACGTAATGACGTCACAAACATGACGTAAACATGGTAAATTTCAGTTTTTTTTTTTACGAATAATGTTTATATTTCGTTGATATTTTGAGCAAAAGTCACTAAGCACATTTGTGTTCAGGATCAATATTTTGATATAATATTCACAATTATTATATCAATAAAATATGTAAATATTGTTCCTGAACACACAAGCGCTCTATAAACTCTAAAGCTAAAATTGTTGAAATTTTGTCCATTTTGTCCTCGTTCTGAAAAAGGATATAAACTCGGACTAGTTTGTGATGCCATAAAAGCAAAATTACTGAATAAACTGCTTTGAAACTATAATATGTTCTGTAAATTTACATTTTTCATACAATTTATTGAATTTAGCACATTTCATGAAGTTTTCAAAATGTGACATTTGTGGGGGCAAGTATATGCAATATACCGCATATAGTTCTTTGCTTAGAAAGGTAAAATTTTCGATAGCTCCAATGTAATACGACCTCATGACTTGATTTTTAGCTAACCAAGATTTTAACCCATTCTTTGCTGAGCCGATAGGCAATACAGGTCGAAGTGTACTTAAAGATACAGTGAAACCTGTCTAATCCGACATGCTCTGGGAGACAAATTTTGTGTCGTAATAGACAGGGTGTCGGATTGTACAGTGTTAAAAACAAGGAAAATATTAAAATGGGAATGAAATTTAACATCGGAATTCACAGTGTGTTGGATTATTCAGGTGTCGGATTAGACAGTTTTCACTTTAATGTGAATCAAAAATAATTCAGATCTTTATTAAATATTTTTTTAACAAGTTGTTATTTGTCACTTTATTTTCTTCTTTTATAAATCTGATTTGGAGACAGCTCATATTAATAGATATATCACTGATGTTCATTTACATGTCATTTTGACAGACTATTCCATCTTCTATACATTCCGTTTATTTGTTATTACATATATGAATCCTCATGTGTCTTTGTAAGGTATCTGATCTGCTGAATTTTTGTCCACATACACCACATTCATAAGGTTTATCACCTGTATGTATCCTCATGTGTCTAAGTTTGCAACTTGAACGGTTAAATGCCATTCCACATACATCACATGTATATAAGGTTTTTCTCCAGTATGTGTCCTCGTGTGACTCTGTAAGATGTTTGACTGAGTGAATATCACCTGTATGTATTCTCATGTGATTCAATAAATGACTTGAATGGTTAAATGCCTTCTGACAAACATCACATTTATTATGTTTATCATCTGTATTTGTCCTCATATGCTTCTTTAAACCACCTGATTGTTTGAAAGCCTTCCCACACACATCACATTTATAAGGATTATCACCTGTATGTATCCTTCTGTGTTTGTGTAAGTTCTGCAATTGGGTAAATGCCTTCCCACACACATCACATTGATAAGATTTATCACCTGTGTGTAGCTTCATGTGGCAGTTAAAGTTACTTACATTGTTGAAAGCCTTCCCACACATATCACATTTATAAGGTTTTTCTCCTGTATGGATCCTCATGTGAATCTGTAAGCTACCTGAACGAGTGAATGCCTTATCACACATATTACATTTATAAGGTTTATCCTCTGAATGTAATATCCTCCTGTGACTCTGTAAATCACTTGAACAAGTGAATGCCTTCCCACACAAATCACATGTATATCGTTTTTCACCTGTATGTGTCCTCGTGTGAGTCTGTAAGTCCCTTGAACGAATGAATGCCTTCATACACACATAACATTTGTGAGGTTTTTCACCTGTATGTATCAACATATGGTCCTTTAGGGCTTTTGCTCCAGATAAACTCCTTTCACACACATCACATTTGTAAGGTTTTACACCAGTATGTGTCTTCATGTGACTCCGTAAGCTCTGTGAGTGCTTGAAAGCCTTCTCACACACATCACATTTATAAGGTTTTTCCCCAGTATGTGTCCTCATGTGATCCTGTAAGTGCCGTAACTGGATGAATTCCTTCCCACACACATCACATTTGTATGGTTTTTCACCAGTATGTGTCCTCATGTGACTCTTTAGATTTCCCGGCCAACTGAATGTCTTCTCACACACTTCACATTTATAAGGCTTTTCAGCTGTGTGTGTATTCACGTGTGTCTGCAAGTTTTGAGATTCCCTGAATGACATCTCAAATACATAACATCTATACTGTGTTTTATCTGTGAATATCCTCGTATTTCTCTGTAAGGCACCTGATTGGTTCCAAGTTTTTGCACATGCATCACAACAATAAGATACATTACCAGTTTGTGTCCTCATGTAGCCAGCAAAGTCATCTGATACAGACAATGCCTTCCCACAAATTTCACACTTAAAACTTTCCTTACTGGTTTGACAACTTATTTGTCTCTGTAAGTGATCTGAACTAGCTGAATCTTTCCAACTGTTACACTTTAATGGCTGTTTACTTACATGTGTGTTGATGTGCCTCTCTGAATTTCCAGTTTGATCCTCGTCTGAACAATAGTTCTGTAATTTTTCGGTATCTTTCTGAATATTTGAATGGGGTTGGAAATCGCTCCTTTCCTTCTGCAAATATGACAAAGAAATCAGTTTTAATTCTCCATGTTGTGATTATGTTTATTGTGAGGATAAAAAGTTAAACAAATAAATATTAAAGACGCTGGGGTGGCAGCCATTTTTAGACTATTTTAATCTCTTACAAAATAAGAGCTCCATAACAGATATACAAAAGTGATCAATATTAAAACTAAAATGTATAATTTTTTTCTTTGCCAAATGAAAGTTGTTGGCTAAAGATACAGTATCTAAAAAAAATAAGTTTAATCTGGTGGTTAATTTGTGGTTAAATTGTTGAGCCTCCTTAAGTTATACTGATTCAAGGTAATAGTTGTTTTTTTAATTTTAAAAAATGGGTTAAAGAACAAGGGTAAATAAGGACTTCTTTTACCATGTGAATTTCTTAAAATTGAAACTGCTCAGTTTAGGTTGAAAAGACTGTATTACTTACTTGGCCCCTTGCTAACCATGAATCAATAAAGCATGATGCAATTTTCTCTCTAATCAATGCTTTAAAACATCATCATAGTTTCTTTTTTTCTTTTTTTTTTTTTTTGGTAAATGTGATTTAATATTAAAAGTTGTGTTATCCATCTCTTCATTTCTTCTTTGATGAACCTGACTTCACATTAACAGGTAGATCATTGATGTTCATTTCCATGTCATTTGACAGACTGTATGCCAACATATATACAGCTCAATGCACTGTCTATGCTCAAATGGTTTTTTGCGCAAAGTTACGTCACATTCTTTTTGCAATAAAATGATCACAATCGACTTTAAGGTATTCAAAATATATCGACCATATTTTGTACCATCATCGCAAACCACATCCAAAATGTACGATCATCTCCCTTTCTAGCCGTGGTTGAACGAGGCGAGACTTTTCGTAGCTCATTAAAATATTGACCAATGCGAGTAAAGCATAGTCGGATGATGAACTTTATAACGACCTTTCAATAAATATATCGCACTAAAGGAAAAATTTCTTTAACACTGTTGACGTCAGTTGTTGATTTCATTTGCGATGGAAACAAAACTTGCCACTGACTGAATATATATGTCACAATAGAGAGGCGTTTATATTCAAGATTACAACACTTTTTGTGATCAAGCAGCCACGGGTAGGAGAGAGCTATATGCAGACTCCAGACCGTGGCCTGAAACAGTGATTTTGTACCTAATAAATGAATAATACAATATTTTTAATCATGGTAGCATTTGAAGATGCTGACAATCAAAGATGAATATGCGATTGTGTTACAAAATTTGATGGCAAAAATTCGTCAGGTGTTTTATCCAAACATCAGACCTGCCTACCCCATTCACTGCAAGGGTGTAATATCGGTACATTTTTGGCGGAATTTCAGTGGTAAAAGCGTAATCAATCATGTTTTCCTTTTTTGGGAGTTTTACTATAATACTTTATTTCCTTTCAAATCAACGAAATTATACATTACTTAACAAAGCCCGCATAAACTTTTCATAATTTTTCGAATCATCTATTGGCAAAAAAAGTGTTGTAAAATACCAGTATCCTTTATCAAATTCAATTCCACCGTACACCCTTAATGAAGCATTTGATCAATTTGTATCAAATCACTTAATTGAAGGTTTGCGTTTGAATGTTAAAACAAATCGTACAATATAACATTTTTACCGTTCAAAGGCTTTTTAACACTCATATTTCTCTATCTTGTTCCAAGCAATGTTAAAATAAAATAAACTTAATTGAGCATAGAAATGGCTGTATGTTTTGCAGTATTGTTTAATAGTTAACGTAAGTAGTGCCTTCTCGTCTTCTTCCTAATCTTCAACCACCAGTTTACATGTAATTACTAGGTATTCTATGTACTTTATTGAACTGGTCTTTGAATAACCTTGATAAGAACTTCTTATTTCATTTCAGCATGTCGTACTTTAACACTGAAATTAGACGTTCATAATGAAATTTTAACAAAAATATCAAAAGCGTAAAATTATTGTAAGTGGCGTAATAGCGTAATTTTGTGGTAAAAAGCGGAAGAATTACGCCAAAAGCGGAAGGGTAGGCAGTTCTGAAACATATGAGATTGATGAAGGCTCAAGAAAAGTTAGTTAAGTGTGCCCAATATTTTCTTGTTAAATCTAAAATGGCGCCGGTGCATTTATAACCTCGTTTTTCTTAACATATCCCAAAATATTAATGCATGGAAAAAAAATGAGATTTTTACTCGTCTGTTTTTTATTCATTTTTTGGAGGCAAAAGTATAGATCAGTAGTTAGTGAGACTTTGTACATTTTATTCATAAACAGTAAGAGTATTTTTATCAATATATTTGCAGAAAACTGAATCAATGTACTTATTTTTATATAGGCTATGATTACAAAGTTGAGTCACTAAATGTGTACATATTTTGCTGATCGTTCCAATGAAATCAAACTCAATAAATTCCGTGAAAGGGTTACATTTTTATTAAACTATTCTCAGGACTTTTAAAATGTCCCCCCCAACCTATTTTGTAAATATCATAAGCTTCCATATAAATATGATCAATTATGGCTTTATTATTCTTGAGAAGATGATTTTTAAAGAATTTTTCTATATATTTCTACTTAAAACTTTGGTCAGCCATTGTGGCCCCACCCTACCCACGGAGGACATAATTTGAACAAATTTTAATCGAAACTACTTGAGGATGTTTCCCAATTAGTTTAATCTTTCCTGGCACAGTGGTTCTTGAGCAGAAGATTTTTAAACATACCACCAAAGTTCCATAATTCCCAATTATCTTCCCTTGATTGAGGAGGTGGATCTTCATTTAAACAAACTTAAATCCCTTTTAATACCCAGGGACGCTTTGTGGAAAGTTTGGTAGAATTTGGCCATGTGGTTCTTGAGAAGAAGTGGAAAATAAGGAAAGTTTACAGACAGACGGACAGACAGACAAAATGTGATCAGAAGAGCTCACTTCAGCCTTCGGCTCAGATGACCTAAAAACAGCATAGGTGCAATGAACCAATAAAAAAATCCAGTCAGGTTGATTTTGGCGAGTCTGTCGTGTTACCGCAAGAAAATTTAATGATGGCCCCCGCATATAAAAGAGAAAGTCAGATCCAGCATCTGAAGCAAGCAGTGTAGTATGCATTCTTAGATGTATCATCCATGCAAGTTTAGATTACATTCGGCTTATAGTTCCTTGGAAATGAGACCTGCTCCAAAAAAGTCAACCAGTTCACTCATCCAGAAATGTAGGTCTGATTTAGCATTTGACATTATTGAAAAAAGCCTAGAAGTGTTCATCTTTAGATGTATCACCAATGCGAGTTTGGTCAACATAAGGTTTATAGCTACTTTGAAAATGAGGCCAGTGACAAAAAACTTTAACCAGCACCAAATAGATCAATCTGGTCAATTACAGATCTGCAACATTGACAAATACAATAAAACAAAAAGCCAGGGTTTTCCACAAGGGGTTTTACCATGGAGGTGCGCCATGGTTAAATTTGCTGCGCCATGGTTAAAATCCGCGCCCGCCAAGCTTAAATTTTAGAATTTAAAACTTTCATTTCAGAGATGACACCTGCAATACACTATCTGAGTAGTTAATTGTGTTTATACAACGTGGTGTGAAGCCCCCCAAGCGCACGGGGACAGGTAATAGTGCTAATTACCCACGGTCAATCAGCTGCGAATGTGCCGTGAAGCGTGAGAATTTATTAATTGAAGGTCAGTCGTCCGGTTGTTTTAACAGTATGAGTAGTTATCTCCTACATGTATATAAACTACCGTTAACGGGGCTCTGTATTTTTGCATTATACGTTATATTGTTTTAAATTCTACCTGTGTCCAGTTCACTACATAATAATTAAAAGATTTACAAGAATTCAAAGACATAGTAATGATGTCTCGCATCCGAGCCAGGGCAGTCGAAACTAAATAGTTTATTTTAACTTCGGCAATCTTGATGATATTAGCCAAGAAATACTCCGTAAAAAATCATATTCCTCCGTATTTAATCAATTTCCCATGCTATGTTTTATAAGCTTTAACTTCATTATCGTTTTCGATAAAATGTGGATAGGACCTAAGTGTCAATCGTCGTCTTATTTTTAGAGTTACTTCCTGTTGTTATGAGACGTCGCGTGGCGCTATTTTTGGCACTGGGGCACGTGGAGAAGTAAACAAAACTCTGTGAAAAACGCAATATCTAGAAAAATAGAATGCTTAGAAAAAAATTACACTTATCCAATTGTTCCTTTGTGTGTTTACTTTAAAAAATACTACCCATTCATCTGTTTTAGTAATATTTAAACAAAACATTTCATACAACAGGCTACAATTCTTACAATTATTTATTTCTGAATAATACTGCCCTGGTTAATGTATCAACAATTTTTTTTTTAATTTCATCGGAAGATTACTACAGTTTTGGGCAAATTCTAGTACATTTGTGAGGTAAAATACAGGATGAATCCTTTTCAATTTTAATTCTCTTTTTTTTTAACTTTAAACAGAGTTAGTTATTACATTGTTTTGTGTTGCAATGGTAAAGTTTACAAATTGTAAACCAGTCATTGATTAATGAAGACTAGGAAGTCTAACGTGCATTCGTGTTTTCGGTCACATTTTGTCTTCACGCAGCTTCCTCCATGGTTAAATTTTCAAATGTGGAGAACCCTGAAAAAGCATCTGCCATGCCAGTCTGATTAACATACGGCAAAGAAGTACTTAAGGTATTTCCACCCTCCTATGATGTCAAAGGCTTTGTGAGGGTGGAAACACCTTAAAGAAACTACAACTGTCCAATAGGGACAAATACCCCCGCTGGGTTTTTCAGAGTAGGTGCCAATTCAGAAATATTTTATGGATCTAGTAAGAGGTGTTCACTATTGTCTAATAAAGTGCCCCGCCACAGCATGATACGCCCATCAAATATTGTTCGATAATCATAAATTGGTTAGGGTGTAAGAAAATCAAGTAACCTTGATTAACAGATTGACACAGATTTCAATGATCTAATTTCCAT